GAACAAGTTGATAAGATGGAGGACGATGTCTTTTTGCGCTGCATTGAGTCGAATATGCTTTCAGATCTTACTCTACAAGTAAGTATTTTATATTTTCCTGCTTCAAAACAATTGTTTTGGGGTTTCAAGACTCCCTCTTTGGTTTTGCTTGGCAAACGAAGATCATTATGTTTAGGGGATTGGAGCGATTTCCAAAGTATATATGCATAAGCCTACAACAGATGATAAGAAGCGGGTTGTGATCACTCCGGAGGGAGGTTTCAAAGCCATTTCTGAGTGGCTTCTTGAAACTGACGGTACTGCTCTTTTGAGGGTAAGTATCGATGCCTGTCTTTTTCGATTCTTTTCCCTGAACTATTCTAATTTCTAAACGTTTTTTCCACATGACTACATCATTGCTCTTGTTTAAGCTTTACGTTTCGTACTGATAGGTTGTGCAGCATATGAAGCATTTTCTCTCTAATGTGTTTCAATTAAAGTATTTTTAATTTTTTGTTTATCATGTTTAGGTGTTATCGGAGCAGCACATTGATCCCGTGCGAACTACGTCGAACGACATCTGTGAAATTTTTGAGGTGCTGCCACTTATTTTGCATCTCTTATCATTCCTTTCATTTGAGCCAGTTTTTGTTCAGGTATTGGGCATTGAAGCTGTTCGCAAGGCAATCGAACGTGAAATGAATAATGTCATTTCCTTCGATGGATCTTATGTTAACTACCGGCATTTAGCTCTTCTTTGTGATGTTATGACAGCAAAGGGTATGGCTTGTCTGCATACTGTGACGCTGTTTTTGATCGTTGACGCTGTTTCAGGCCATCTCATGGCTATCACACGTCATGGAATTAACAGGCAAGAAGTCGGAGCTCTTATGCGTTGCTCTTTCGAGGAAACCGTTGATATTCTTATGGAGGCAGCTGTGCATGCTGAAGTGGATCCCGTTAAAGGTGTGTATTATTTGATTCATTGTTTCAGTTGCTTGTTGCTTGCTATACTTGTTTTGTTGAATGTCTGCTCTCGATCTGTATCATGTAAGCATTGGTTGCCACTACATGAATTGCAGGGGTGTCTGAAAACATCATGCTGGGACAGCTGGCAAAAGCTGGAACTGGTGCTTTCGATCTTGTTTTGGACGCAGAGAAGTGCAAATACGGTATTGAGGTATGTTTATCTGTCAATAATTCTTGCACTTTTTT